AAAGAGAGGATAGTTAACAGTTCCAAATAAAAAATTATATTACTAAGCAGCAGGCCTCATTTCTCCAAGCTAAAGAGCCCCAAGCGCTTTAACCTTTCTTCATAGGCTTTTTATCACGTGGTGGGTATGTGATGTTACAAAGAGGTATTGGAGATGGATTCATGAGATAATGGAAAAAATAACAAGAACTAATATCCCATTTACTCCAGAGATACTGTTATTGAATATATTTCTGAAAGACTTTGACAAAGCAGATAGGTATTTGATAGTTCATATGTCGACAGCTGCAAGGATAGTATTTGCCAAACATTGGAAAATAATGGAAATACCAACGAAACAAGAGTACTTGAAACGGCGGAACATGACAAACTGACACTTGAGATGAGTGCCGGCACAGAATGGACTTTTATTCTATGATTGGTATAATGTAAACACAACTGATAGATAAATGTGGTAATTTGAGAACGCAGAAAAGATAAGCTTAGCAAAATAGATAATGAATTTAGAATTAAGCAGAAATGATAAAAGTCTCTTGTTATATGTTATATGTTGTTGGGGGTAGTTGGGTGTTGCCTGTATGTATGTTTGTAGTATATAATGTAAAAAAACAATAGAAGTGTACCCTCGGGTACTTAAAAAAACCCCACACCTTTCTTCATAGGGAAAGTCTTCCAACCCTTTTATCATTCTAGTTGCCTTTTTCTGCACTTTTTCCAGTGCTATAATATTCTTTTTGAGGTGTGGTGACCAGAAGTGTACACAGTACTCCAAATGAGGTCACACCATTGATTTAAACAGGGGCATTATGATACTGGCTGATTTGTTTTCAATTCCCTTCCTAGTAATCCCTAGCATAGAGTTGGCCTTTTTTATTGCAGTTGCACACTGTCTTGACATTTTCAGTGAGTTATCTACTACGACTCCAAGATCTCTCTCTTGGTCAGTCTCTGCCAGTTCGGACCCCATCGATGTGTATTTATAGTTAGGATTTTTGGCTCCAATGTGTATCACCTTGCACTTGGCCACATTGAACCCCATTTGCCATGTTGACGCCCACTTGCCCATCCTTGACAGATCCCTTTGGACTGCCTCACAATCCTCACTGGTTTTCACCACCCTGAACAACTTCGTATCATCCACAAATTTAGTCACTTCACAGCTTACTCCCAACTCCAAATCATTAACGAACAAGTTAAAAAGAAGTGGACCAAGTACTGATCCCTGCGGTACCCCATTGCTTACCACCCTCCACTGAGAAAATTTCCCATTTATACTTACTCTCTGTTTCCTATTAATTAGCCAGCTTTTGATGCACAAAAGGACTTGTCCTTTTATCCCATGACTATTGAGCTTACTTAGTAACCTTTGATGAGGAACTTTATCAAAAGCTTTCTGGAAGTCAAGGTAAACAACATCTATTGGGTCCCCCTTGTCCACATGTTTGTTCACTCCCTCAAAGAACACTAACAGGTTAGTGAGACAAGATCTTCCCTTACAGAACCCATACTGAGTCTACATATGGTATATATAGTATATATATATATATGGTATATAACCCCAAGGATATTGAGAACGTAGACAAAAACTACAAAGGAAAATGCTGGAAATGTCTAAACATAGTAGAAACCTTTTACCATATGTGGTGGACTTGTAAAAAAGAAAAAAGGTGTTGGATGGAAAAATGAGGAGCATGTTAAAATTTAATTCCCTTCTGGAAGCTAAGAGTATGCTGATAGGTATTGTCAAGCTCCGTCTGTGGCCCGGGAGCTGGCCTGGCCGTGGTGTCCGGCTATCCCCCAGGGCGGATGGTCCTGGGAGTTGGAGGGAGTTCGTTAAGGAGGAGTTTGCCATGGGGCCTCAGATAGGCAGGGGACGGGGTTAACGTCACCCCTTAAGTCCCTCCGCCAGCGTGCGCAGGAGACCTCTCGTTCTCCCTCTCTGTTTCTCTCAGCTCAGTTCTGTCGCACGTTTCTCCTCCCTGGCCCCTCTGCATCTCTCTCCTTTTTTCCCCCTTCTCCACTCCCAGCACCACCCGTGTTTCCTGCCCCCTCCACTCCCAGTCTGCCCCCGCCCCCAGTGATAAGCCCGGACACCACCTGGGCATTCTGGGCGTGGTTGCAAGTGTGCTGGCAGCGGTCCTGTTGGCCCAGGGGCCACGCCACCGGTGCCGCCTGGGTTCCTCGCCGTGTCTACCCTCAGCTCTCCCTCTGCGACATCCGCGCCACTGCTCGCTGGGGCGGGGTTCCGGGGTGCACGCTCCATGGGCCGTGCTCTGCCAACGCTATTGCAACTCTCTGGGTCACCAAAGGTTGTCTCTCCCGGGGCTTCCCGCATTGAGGAGCCGAGCCGCAATTCCACCGGTTGCTATGGCATCGTGGTTGCTCCGCTCCTCTGCTGGTTCCCGGGTGAGTTGGGTGGTTGGGTCGTCTCTGGGGGGTGGGGTATACGTCCCGTGGCCACCGGTCTGGGACAGGTATACTGCCTAATAAATTGCCAAAAATTTTGGAAAAGATATTCAAATACATGGTGGCGGCAGCTAAAATTGTGCAGTAAAACAGAAATTAGACTTCTGTCCAAGCTTAGAAGAATGGGAAAATAAACTTGCTGACAATCTTCTTCTTGTTTGTTGTGAACCACAAAGGTCTGAATTCAAATCTCTGACATTCAAACAAACTACTCTTTCTCCCTACTCTCTTTAATATGGGGTTGACAAAAGTGACATACCTTATAGGTTTGTGAAAGGTTATGACAGACAATATATGTGCTTTGAACACCTTAAAGAGCTATATATAAATTCTAAGTATCATTAAATATTGTTAGATTATATAAATTGTTGGCATATACAGGGACTGAACTTACCACAGAAGTCTTTGTGAATTAGCTAGGTGGCAGTTGGGAAAATGTACAGACAGGAAATCTAACATTCTCTGACTGCAATGAAATATCCCTCTCTGCAATCAGCATGGCATGGCATTTGGAATTGGTAACAGGCTGGATGAGGACCTAAAAACTAGCGGTGCAATCCTAAACAGATCTATTGAGAATCTTCCGGAAGACTACTCCTTACTCCCAAGAAAGTGTCTTTAGGCTTGCACTGTAAATTTGAAACAGGACATGACAGAGGCATTTTGCTGGGTGTCTCAGTGTTGCCTAGAGGTGATATTCAGCCTATCTTGAATGGAGCCACAATCCTGCTTAAAAAGCAGGTTTACTATTTCTGGGCAGGACTTCTCAGCAATATCTACATGCCAGGCTAGGTTCCCATGCTCATGAGAGGCCCTCCAAAACAAAATCTGGCCTAAACTGTGGCAAAATATAGAGTGGGGGGTAGCGTAGGTGAGAGACCTCTGTCCTTGGACCTGAAGAGGGTACCAGCAAGATCAGGCTACATCTGCCCACAATGATATAACATTGCACAATTAACCTGACTCAGGTTGAGGACACGGTAGCCCATTGGGTAGGAAACACAGGCCCTCTGAACGTTGACTTCATCTTTAGGCATCAATCTGGCATCCTGCTTGGCATCACCTTGTTCTCTTCCCACCAATTGATGTGGGAGGCACCAAAAAAGATCCACAAGCCACATCAACAAACCTGACCAGAAACGCTGCAGGGTATCAGGCAGGCCACCACCCCTTCTCAACAATCCCAGTAACTTGGCAGGGAAAACGCTTGGAATACCTAAAGAACTCCTGGCCCACAACCCTGATGCTAGCGAAACAGCAGTCGCGCTAGGGCAGGGTTGCCTTCAGCTAAGAAGAAAGACAGAGTATAAATATTTAAATAAGAGGCCCGAGTGTTCCAGAATCGGCACAATATGTTCTCTGAGAAAAGAGGAGGCTGAAGATAACAAAGCCACAAAAGCCCATACTGTTGAGGTAAAAGCAGGAGTGGGAGGATATTTTTTTTAATTACCCCCTTTCCCCCCTGCACTTGGGCTTCCTCTGTGCATGTGGCTCTACCTCCTGCGGCAGCCATTTTGTGGTTGGGCTCATCACCCTGCGTCAGAATTCCAAAGGTGCCCACAGGCTCAAAAAGGTTGGGGACCCCTGAACGAGTCAGTCACTGTCTAGAGATAGCCATCTGAAAGCCTTCCTGAAACACCCAGCCAAGGTATTGATCAAGCATGGTAGTGTAACAAGGTGCAGTGCTCTCTCCTGGTGAACCCCCACTTATGTGCACAAGCAAACTGGCATTCATGGGGGGGGGGGGGAGCTCAATACAAGTCAGCAACTTTCACTGTATATTGGGCTTCTCATTTTCCAGACAGAATTTTAACTATCTCCTGTCTGTTATAGCTATGCACCAACCAGCTGAAAATGTAGACTCCTGGTCATTGTTGTCTAATAGCCTGCCTTTTTTGCCTGGACATTGGCTGTGAAGATCATTCGCACTCCACCTCTTAAGCATACCCTGCCCCAGTTTGGCATCCCATGCAGAGACCACCAATTTGAGCTGAAATGAAACCAGGTGTGCTTCTAAAATCACTTCAAATATACAGATGTAACCCACTGCCAACCCAACCCATTCACACTTCCTAATCTTGGGTTTGAATATTAAACAGAATCCAGTCCTTTATTGTTTATATGAACCACACTGAATAATACATATGTACATTTATAAATAATAACACAAGAGCGTAAGGAACGGAATGGTATGTACACAGTTTTAAGTCAAAGATGGGCATGACCCCAGGCTAAAGCACAAATTCTCGTTCCTATGGTTGGTGGTGCTGCCAAAAATGGCCTTAGTGGCAAGTATTCCTTATCCTAGCTGTGCCATTTATGGTTCCTCAGCCAACATCTTTATTGGCAGAAACAGAAACTAAGTAACAGAAATGAAGTAATAGGACAGAGACAAACGATATACCATGCAGATCCATTATGTAAATGCCAGGATGGGGATGGATCATTTTTGGTGGCATCCCCATGACATGGCCTAGCCGAATCCCACTGCCACAGGATCTACCCAAAGGGCAGGAAGGAAGGAAATGCAGCACCTCAGTTGCCATGAATCTCTTCTGGTAGTACTTCAAGCTGGCACTGACAACACCACCAGGTAAGTCTCTTCAAGCCATCCACAGGCCCAAAGGTTCCCTTCATCACCTCATGCCCCGCGGGACACTTGTCTTTCCCGTAGATCTGTGGGCGTAGCCCACGTCCCTGTAGCTTGCTGTTGAGCCACTCCAAGCTGAACTGAATGGCATGATCAAGCAAGGATTTGAGTGCAGAGGGTGGCAAGAGAGAGCCAAGGGAAAGTGGGTGGATCTTTGCCAGATACAGAACTTCATTCTTAATTATGTTCCCTGGGGCACAGAAAGAAAGAAAAAGAGACAGTAAGCTAAAAGGTCAGAGAAGCTGAAATTACTATACAGCCAGCACGGCACTGTTTCCAAAAATGGACTTCTCACTAGCAAGTGAAAAGGTTACAACACTAAGAGCCAAATTAGACATTACCTTTTCCCTTCATTTTCACATGTTGCCTGCAGCCTCACCACAGCTGTGGGAAACTGTTGTGTGTGTTTTTTTTAAAGGAGAGCCCAAATGGGCTTGGAATGGCACCATGGGGAGGGGGGAAGGACTCCTGCCTCCTCCCCAAGCAGTTTTCTCACACAAAAAGCACGTGTGCGCGGGTGTGTGTGTGTTATTTTGCAAATTTTGCTGCTTCACCTTCACAAATACTCCACATGGAGTGGTAAAATCAGCTAAATGACCTCCCCATGTGGTTTTCACATGGCAAAACTGCTTGGGGTGGGGTGGCTGGAGCCCTTCCTACCCCCACAGTGCCATTCAAAAGCCCATTTAGGCTCTCCTAAAAAATTTTTTTAAAGGAACCAGTTCCTGACAGCTGCTGTATGGCTGTGGGGAATACATGGAAAGACACCATAAAAGGTAATGTTTAGTTTGGCTCTTAAGGAGAACTAGATTCAAATCCTTGGTCAGCCCTGAAACTCTCTGGGTTATTTCCCCCCCCTTTAAGTCTTTCCTGTATCTTGTACTTGACCAAAGAAACATCAATTGATGCAAATAACACAACAACACACCACAAAACACAGTTACGTCAGAAACATTAGACATATGCAATGTTGTAATTCCTTTGGGGAAAGGTATAAATTATAGAGTTTTATCAAGATGTTGAGGAAGTTGGAAAAGGTTATAAAAATAAGTTAACAAGCATGATTCATGACAAAAATAATCTAGCAAAAGAAAATGTATATATACATATTTTTACTTGTCCTGTTTGGAGTAAGTAACTACTTTTCAAAAAAATGGCTTGTCTTTTTTTACTCTCTTTCCTCTCAAATTCTGTTAGCATTTTATCAAATATTGAATCATCTGTGTATTGACTGGAATTGTTTACTTTTTCATGGTGCCTACAATCTTCATTCTTGCTGCTGTTGAGTCTGTTATCAATGTTTCTGCCTAACCTAAATTTGATTTGCTATTTATTTATACTTTACATTTATTAATTACCTAATCCCTATGTACACAGAGTTCTGGGCAATGTACAACAAAAGTTAAAACATCAAAAAGAACAAGTTAAAGTTAATAAATAAAATTCATTGCATTCTTAAAATTATCTCAAGATGGCATTACTGATCTGTTCTTAAACCCATTCTGGACTGTGGTGCCGCCTCACAGGCAGGGTAAAGAGGAGGCAGAAACAGAAGGCGATAGGTCAAGGGGATTTTATGAAAATAAAGGGGTGGAGTATAAACACCTACCTGAGTGCCTTGAAGAAAAAGCAGGACAAGAATGTAATAAATGAAGAAATTCAGTTTTTGAAGTCTTAACACAGGATTTTTATATGCTGATCAAATGTATCCTGTACCATTCCTCTGCTTATAGTAAATTAAATATGGTCAGTTCTGACTGACTACAACAGACCTGCTTAGCTTCGTACAGCATGGGCTTTTATTTCATTTTTAAATCTCAATCCTACTCCTTGTTAACTAATCTTTAAAGCAATAATGTTAAATTTGCCACACTCCAAACTTTTCAATAAAATTCGAATTGTTTTTATGATCTATTGCCCTCTTTCGCCACAATTTTGTTTCTGGCCTCCCGTGTCCATGTACTCTTCCTCTCCTATTTCTTGCCCCAGATTCCCAAACATCTCCACAGTCCACACCTGAGGAAGCAGAAGAGCACAGACACACTTACCCAGCCCTGAGAAATGTCTTTGGTCCAGGAGAGTATGGCACACAGGGGTGGCTTTACAAAGGGCCTCCAGCGCTTGCTCCCGATCGAACTCTGGGCTCAGGATGTCAGTAGCTGGCTGGGCAGTGGGAGAAGAACACTGGAAAATTCGGCAGCTGTAAAAGACAAGGAAGCCCCCTCTGTCGAAGTGCAGGGTCAGCCTGAATACAGAAGGAAGACTCTCTTACTGATAGTCTTGCTTAGTACATATACACCTTTTTCACATTCATGGCTCAAAGTTATTGATTGGCAAAGTCAACTAGAACCAGGTCAGATACTAGAAAGGAACAGTTAATATTCCAACCCCTACTCCTGCAGCAAAGAAAAAATGGCTTCCATGGGAGGGATCAGTAGTAATCCGCTGGAGGCTCTCCCTCCTCCTAGTACTTAGCTGAGACCTCTGGACAGTCTTTATATCCAGTGTCCAAGCTCCAATTATATCAAGGATATACCTAAGGCTCCTAGCTTTCCCTATCTAATGGCTCCTTTCGGGTGGATTGTGGGCCCCAGCCAAATGTTCACTTGACCTACAAGGAGATCCAGCTTTATCAAAACAACACTATTCTTTGATCATTCAAGCTAATAAGCCCAACAGGTCAGGCACCTGGGGAGATGCTGGGGAAATTTATTTATTTATTTTTATTTTTCACACTTTTACCCTGCCCTCCCGCCAAGGCAGCTCAGGGCGGCTTACAATAATTAATACCAATATACAATTAAAACCAATTATCACAACTGATACAATGCCTTACCATAAAACCATAAAACATTACAATAAATTCAACCTATTGAGATTTAGCGGCCATCCGTTATAAGGTGCTAGTGCTTATGCAACATGGCCAGTGTGGCCAGGGCTATTAGAATGCTTGTCGGAACAGCTCGGTCTTCACCGCTCTACGGAATTTTTGAAGATCCCGCAGAGCTCGAATTTCAATTGGGAGCTCATTTCATAGCGTCAGTGCAGCTAGGGAGAATGCCCTGGTTCTTGTTGCTGTTAACTTGGCATCCCTAGGGCCAAGGAGGACCAGGTGGTTTTGTGTCCCGGATCTCAGTGCTCTTGGGGGAACATACGGGGGAAGGCGGTCCCTCAGGTAGACAGGCCCCAGACCATTTAGGGCTTTAAAGGTCAAAACCAGCTCCTTGAAGCATATCCGGAACACTATTGGCAGCCAGTGCAGCGACCTCAGCACAGGTTGAATGTGCTCCCTCATGGGGAGACCCATCAGCAACCTGGCTGCAGCATTCTGCACTAGCTGCAGCTTCCAGAGTTGCCCCAAGGGCAGCCCCAAGTAGAGAGCATTACAGTAATCCAACCTCGAGGTGACCATAGCCCGCCGCCACTGTCCCTCTAGCCGTCTGAGCTCTCGCTTCATCAGCCTCAGCCCCCGGGTATACCAGGGTGCCAGCCTAGATCAAGGGCGCAGAGGGCGTCTGGGAGCGATCTCGTCGATGGCTGCTGAGAGTTGGTTGCTCCAAGCCTCGACTAGTTCATCTAACGAGTCACCAGGGGGCAATGGATCCCGGAGAGCCATCTGAAGCCGCAATGGGTCCATCTGGCTCCGCGGGCAAGCTAAAATCAGCTCACCGCCCAAACAGGGTTGGGATGACACGTTTACTCGGGCCCTGAGGGCATAGTGGTCTGACCATGGAACTGCCGTAGCAGTAATCCGGTCCACTATGATCCCAACCGCGAAGATCAAATCAAGCGTGTGACCGGTCTGATGAGTGGGGGCTGTTACATATTGGGAGAGTCCCAGCGCCGCCATGGACGATGCTAGGTCCACCGATCGGGAGGAGGCCGCATCATCGGCATGGACACTGAAGTCCCCCAGAACCAACAGCCGGGGTATTCCAATGCCCAGCCCGACACGGCCTCCACCAGAGATGGCAGGCTGTCCGCCGGTGCATTGGGCGGACGGTACACTAGCCAGAAAGGACTAGGCGGCCACCTAGATTCCTTCCAGTGTAGGACTGTGGCTTGGGAGGACCCTTGGGTGCATTCCAATTTGCCTGCATTTCAAGCATAACAGTGGGAATTTAAAGGAGTTGTATCAGAGCCCTCTTTCTGGAAGACAAGGGCAGATTGTGCCCATTACTACATTCTTCTGAATGGGTCAAAGTAGCTTCCTTCCTTCTCCCCCAATCTCCACAATTCATACCTTGGAGTTGGATCTCTCCAGTCCCCTCTTTTGTTTGCCTTACTGGCCCTTGCAAACTCATTGGCTCGGATGCTGCCATACAGACCAAAATGGAAGCGTAGCCATTTCCTGGGCTGCCTAGCAGCATTTTCTGTAAGCAGTGGCAAATCATCAACTTCAGGCTCCTCCAGTAGATGGCACTGTGGGTGGTGAGCATTTCCTTCCAAGGGAAGGGTATTGTCCCCACTAGTGGCTGTTCCTGGAACAGATGGCCTGCATTCAGATGGTCCTGGAGAAGCGCTGTCACTGCAGGGTGCCACTTCCTGAATGGTGCCAAATGCCAGGAATAAGTTCTTCCCATGGACCTAACGAAATGAAAAGCCAAATATTTTCACTCTCTTGTGCCCAAGTACTGGACAACCTACACCAGATTGGTTGGATTTGAAAGATAGCACAAAGGAAACCAGGGTTGCCAACATTTTTACTATCTTCTGCCCTCACACCTTTGAAAGCAGCTTAATCTGTAGGTATTAGCAAGTGTGAAAAGCTACCTCTGTACAGGTAGGCACAAGAGCATGGCTGGGGAACAAGCCAGGTTGACGCCAGACGTCTGCATTCATTCATCACATAAAACCATAGTTAAGTGTGTTTTTAATAAACCAAATGAGGGCTTCATATCCTGATCTAGGGTTAGAGTCCATCAGGTCAGATTAATCACTGGAGAGTTCAGAAAATTACACTAACCATAATTATGTATGAAGCTGCCTTATATGACTCAGACCATCGATCTATCAAGGTTAGCATTATCTGTTCTGAATGGGAGCAGCTCCCCATGGTCTCAGATCAAGGTCTTTCACATTAATCACTACCGCAAGCCTTTTAACTGGAGATGTCGTGGACTGAACCTGGGACCTTCAGCATGCAAAGCAGAAGTTCCACTACTGAGCCATGGCCCAACGTTAAGTTTCATTGAACCACAGGTTTATGTTATGTCTGAATCAAGCCATTATCTATCAAGAGACTCCAACTGAGAGAGGTATGGCCTACATCCATTTTTTTTGTCTCTTCTGGTCAAACTATTGTCTGTGATCAACCCCCAAACCCCAACTCTTTGAAGGAAGCAAGGAAAGTAAAACTAGATTCAAACCAGCTTAAATAAGTAGTGTAAGGGAAGGGGGAGATGGTAGATATTAGAAGTTTCCAGTTTTAGTACATGTGCTGCCAAAAATATGGAACGCTTCACGAATTTGCGTGTCATCCTTGCGCAGGCCTGGTTTTTGACAATCAAATTTTGGCTTTGCCTTTTAATTCTGATTCAAACTCTCTTACTTTCTTAATGTTGCCGGATTATCATGAATCTAACTGGTTGAAATTAGTCCTTAACATAGTATTTCAGATAATTAAAAGTGGGCTGTTAGATATCCAATTTCAGCACTTGAGTGAGGCAGCTAGGAAAACTTGCTCTCCAATTCATCTGGAATTATCTCTGACACCTGGCCAGATAGCCTCTTATTTTTCCTCTTTAACTGATCCCCATCAAAGAAGGGCGTTTATGCTGGCCAGATTTAATGTACTGCCATCGGCCATCTTCTCTGGAAGATGTAAAAAAATCCCCAATGAATTTAGACGATGCCCCTGTAGCCTGGTTGCTATTGAATCAGTTTCCCATGTTGTATTAAATTGTCCATTATACATTAAGATTCGAGAAAAATTTCTAAACTCCCTTCTCTGTACATGGTGTGACCTCCCTGACAGTGTCAAGGTTCAGTTGTTACTTTCTAGACACAATTTTCTCATAACCTCTAATGTTTCTTTTCTCCAGTCTGCAATTCGATTCAGGGAAGCTATTAATTGATCTATTTCCTTTTGGGTTGGCCTTATGATTGCTTCGTTACCTTGATGTACTTGGATGTTTTTTTAAAAAAATTAATGTACTTTCATCTTTGATATTTTTATTTATTTATTTATTAAATTTCTGCCCCGCCCTTCCGGCGAAGCAGCTCAGAGACATGCCAATAAAGGTTGTCTGTCTGTCTGATATCAGAAGAGCCTAATACAGCAAGACTGACCTGAGTGTCGCACAGCGTAAGCGACTTCAGTTCATCAGGGTTCATCTGCCTAGTACGTCCTTCCACTTTGGTCACTGTCTGACCCACAAAGGGAGAGCAGCGTAACTGGAACCTCTTTACAGACGGACCTTCTGGCATTGCTGCAGAACTGCAAGAACATCTGAATTCCTGGGACTTTTACAAGTACTTAAAGTTGTGGAAGGATGCTAAAAAATAATAAAAAATACAAACGTTACAGAATGCAATCTCCACTAACAACACTGAATCATTTGCAACATGCAGAAGCTTTGTGGCTGATATGCAGGGGGTTCCTCAGAGGACAAAATATACACAGGAAGTATTCCCTGAATGGCCAAGTGTTTCCTGAACAATACTGTGCCATTTGGGAGCTATCTATCTAGCTGTAGGAATCAGGGGCTTCTGCCCTTTAGGGTAGTATGAAGTCACATCCTCATAAAAATCTCCCTTTTAATGTGACTGGATTCCCTGTCATGTTGAACACATCACCAATAGCCATGTTAAAGGCTGGGCAGAATTTTTTCCTCGACCAAACTGGCTAAAGTAGTAATCTTCAGTCCTGTTCCCACCAATGTTGCCTAGCAGCCATTTGCTTCTTCTCTAAAGCAAAGATCCAACCATTACTTTCCTCTACCTCACCGCAACACAATTCAAAGACTCCAGGAGGCACTATCTTTGGGTATGCAGGGAATACTCATTCAGAAATAATTGCTCCCTCCATCATATAAGGCTACGTGGCTTGCAACCTCCCACCATTATATGATTGCCCTCCCATAGCAGCCATTTTGTTCCCACCTCCTATGGCAGCCATTTTGTGGTAGCACTTACTACCCTTTCTCAAAATTCCAACAATGCCTATAAATTCAACAAGTTTAAAGACCCAATGGGCTAACTAAATCATGTTTTGGTAGGTTTGGTTCTCCCTTGTAGGATACAACAGTCTGGCGCATTTGCTCAAGGGTTGCCAGCAGACTCTCCAACTTGTGGTCATGCCAAAATGTGCCTCTTCATTGGGCATACTTTTGACCTATATAATGGTACGGAACATGCCTATAAGAGCTAAGCCGCTATTTGGAGAACTGTACACGGGCTCAGTTGTCATTGGTTCACCTCCCCTGCGGTGTTCAATACATTTCCCCAAATGATTGCTAGTTGTTTGATGGTCAGGGGATTTTGTTTTCCACCCACCCCAACTCCTGTTCCCACTGCCATGAAATTCACTGGGGGACCTTGGGCTGTTTATTTATTTATAAGATTTATACCCCACATTCTACCTTTATCAGAGCCACCAAGGCTACCAACAGATTAATAACAGACATAATATAAACACATCTTAAAAACCATTAAAACCAAACAAAAATATATCATTAAAACAATTAAAACCAAAGTTAAAATACACATAAAACCAACAATTAAAACGTAGGGGAAGAAGGAGGTAACACTGAGGTGGAAGATGGCAACAGAAGGGAACAGATGAGTATCTCTTGGGAAAGAACTTGGAGTACTGGTGCCATGACCAAGAAGGCCCTCTCCAGGGTTGCCACACACCGAATTTCAGGTGGGGCCACCTGAAGCAGGGCCTTGGAAGATGACCATAGCAGTCAGATAAGCTCATTAGGGAGTAGATGATCCTTCACATTTGTTGGTTCCAAGCCACGAGGAGGAGATTCCCTGCCCTTCACTACCCGAAGGAGTCTCAGAGCAGCTTACAATCCTTTCCCTTCCCCTCCCCACAACAGACACCCTGTGAGGTAGGTGGGGCTGAGAGAGCTCTTTTGAGAACTGCTCTTGAGAAAACAGCTCCGAAAGAGTTATGACTGACCCAAGGTCACACCAGCAGCTGCATGTGAAGGAGTGTGGTATCAAACCTGGTTCTCTCAGATTAGAGTCCACGCGCCTAACCACTACACCAAACTGGCTCTAAAGGTGGGGCTTTAAAGGTCAACACCAGCACCTTCAATTGTGCCCAGAAACAGAGCCAGTACAGACGGGCCAAAGACTGGAGTAACATGGTCCATATAACCCACTCCCGTCAACGTCCTGGCTGCAGCATTCTGCACTAGCTGAAGTTTCCAAACACTTTTCAAGGGCAGCCACAGGTGAGGCCACAGTTGGCTAACTAGTCAAAGCTGGTAAAAGACACTCCTGGCCACAGCTAGCCATTCTCTCTCAGCTTGACCCACCTCACAGGATTAAGGATAAAAATGGCAAAGAGAGAACCACGTTCACTGCCCTGAGCTCCTTGGAGGAAGGGTAAGGTATAAATATGCTTGAAAGAGAAGCATCGGGCGCAAGGCATGGTTGGTCACCCTTCAAACCAGTTCCAAGCATTGTAGCTTGACCAACTAGGGCCAGTTTACACATTACAGAATCCCTGAGTAACAATCAGATATGAGTTGAGAGAACCCCCAACTCCCATTTCCCTCCACATACAAATCTTTGGATCGACAGGTTGATATAACAACCTGGCCTTCTGATTCCATGCCTGGAGTATCCAAGAACACATCCACCCAATTAATAAAAGTCTGATGCAAGATTATTTACTAATTTATTTGTTGATTGCTTAAGTACAAGGCAGGCAGGCATTCTTTTGAAGAAAACAGTGTTGATTTTTTCTTTAATCAGTGTCACTGAAAAGCCACTGACAGTGAAGTGGGGGGGGGATCACAGACAAGGTTGGTGACTAAGCATGAAATCAGCAATTGCACTCCTGACACGTTCCCCTTCCTCTTTATGACAGTTATCGCTCCGGTAGTAGTCTTCCTCATCACTGGAGACAAGAGGGGGGACAGAGTCACCGAGGTCCACTACCACACCATGTCCTTTCTCCTCGCATATATTGTGCAGAATGACACAAGCTGTAATCACAGTGCAGATGTTCTCCTCAAATACGGGAAGGCGCATCGTTAGGCAACGCCATCGCGTCCTGAGCCGCCCAAAGGCGCACTCTACCACGTTCCTAGCCCTGTGGAGTGCACAGTCAAACATTTGCTGACACCTGTCCCCATTTTTGCCAAAGGGCTTCATTAGCCACCTGCGAATGGGGTAAGCTCCATCTGCTACCATCAGTGCTGGCACCTGAACTCCGTTGATCTCCATGGTTGGGTTTCCAGGAACAAAAACCCCAGCATCCATTGCCATGCACAAGGCAGAGTTCCGGAATACAAACGCATCCCGGGTCTTGCCGCTCCAGCCAACCTCGACATTGATAAATCGCCCACTGTGGTCCACGGTGCCCTGGAGCAATATGGAGCAGTTTTTCTTGGAGTTGCCATATTCATCAATCCGCTTTCCTGGGGCTCGAATGAGGATGTGCATTCCTTTGATTGCCCCAATGCAGTGTGGAAATCCTAGATGTGCAAAACCATCCATGATCTATGAGTGAGCAAGAGAGGAAGACAAGGCTATAAATGTCAGTGATTCCCAATATGAACATTAAACTTTCTATTCAAAAGCATCCCTACATCCCATTCAGTCTAAATATGGATGTCATATTCTAACAGGCAACTGTATAATCCTCAGATCCTTAATTCGGAGGAACAGGGCCTTTTACATGGAAGTAAGATTTTTCTACAAACTTAAGGGGCCCTTTGGGTTTGCAGAAAAATCTAAAACCTTTTTTAAAAATTCCGGGGGTATTTAAATTCCCCCAAAAAACAAGACTGTTGTTTGTGCATGTAAATAAATAGGTGTGTGTGTAAACAAATAAATAAATTGTGCATGTAAAATAAAATAAAAAAATGTACAAAACTCTAATATACTGTTGGCAAAGTGGGAGGCAGCAGGGGGTGGGCAGGGAAGTCATTGCTGCTTCCACCCCCAGACATAGGGGGGGAGGAGGGGGTCATCACTGCCCCCACTAGCATGGGGGGGGACAGAAAAGGGGTGGGGTAGGGCAGAAAGAGGGGTGTTAAAGGCCCATTGTTCCTAACTGGTATGTGTAGTTTCTGTGGAAAGGTGCTCTCTGTGTGGGAAAAGAGCATCCTTGCTGAGGTAACCTGTCCAGAGAAAGGGGAATCAAATCTCCCAGATTTATTTATTTTACTTGAGAGTCAGTTTTGTGTTATAGATACTTTATATATTGAAGTCATCCAACCACAATATTTACCTTATAAATATTTTCTTTTTAATAAATCTTTGTTGTTCATCTTTATCTGTGTCTTGTCTGTTGACTCATATGTCCAAGGAAAAGTGATCTCTATTTACCTCACGTATCAGTACAGCCTTGGTCTCGCAGGCTTACAGATAAGACACCTTCAGGTAGCACATAGCTTACATGCTGCCGATCCTTTTTTTAAAGCCTGTATCCCCCTTTTTATTTGATTTTGGGCAGTTGGGAGGGGCTGGACATTCTGCCATCCAGAAGGCAGTTGCCTCAGAGCCTCCCTCCCCCCCCCCCACATGGGGGGATGAGTGAGAGGTGGTGGGGAAGACAACCGAGTGTCAGAGAAGGGGTGGGAACAATGAGAAAAATTAAAGGCAGGGGAAATGGGATCAGTGTTCCCGCTAAACTGTGTTCGTGTGTGATGGCACACTAATTTTTAGCCCTTAGTGCAAGCTTTTCAGCTGAACACAAGGTGATGAAATTCTCTCCTGCTTCCTTCTCTGGGGCTGCTGCTGTGCTGCAGCTTGCTTTTGCCTGGCTCCCTCAATCGCGCGGGAGATACACAAAGCCAAGCCTCCCTTCCCTCCATTGGCTGAAGTCCCCTCTCCTCCTTTGGGGAGCAAGGGAGGGGGAAGGAAAGAGAGAGAGTAAACAAAGTCAGAGTCCTGTGGCAGCTTTAAGACCAACAAAGTTTTATTCCAGTTTTATTATTTATTTATTTTATTAATCCAGTTTTATTTCATGTGTATGCAGACTTCTTCAGAGGGAGGGAGGGGGGGATTTAAAAGTAATATAGTTTAAAAGAATTCATTCTGAGATTTTTACAAAGTTATGGTAATAATCTTCCAAAAAAGTAATTTACACGATAGTCAAATGTAGGATCACTCACAACTTTAATGCTAGTAGCTCTTTTGGCTCATGAAATAAATTTTTTGCTCACATCCCTCCACAGCTTAGAGGGAACACTGAATGGGGATGCCTTCTCTCCACAAGTTTCTTGCAGGTCTCGGCTTGTATCGCTATAATGATAAAGTTGTTTACATTTTACAAAAACGAAGTTAGCATATTCACCTTGGTGATCTCATCGCCCAGGCACACCATCTTCCTCAGCAGGTCAAGCTCCATGGCGCAGCAAACCTCAAGGACTATCTCCCCGACTGTGGAGAGACCAACTCCAAATTGTTCACGGACCTCCCTGTAGCAGTTGGCATTGGCAAGGTACCAGATGGCAATGGCAACTCTCTTCTCAACAGGTATTGGCTCCCTCATGTTGGTGATCTGCCGCTGGAGACGTGGTCTGAGGGCTTCCACTATTTCAAAAAAGGTGCCACGACTCATGCGAAACCGCTCTATCCACTGCTCCTCATCCCACGTGAGCCTGATGAATTGCTCCCACCAGTTCTTGCTCCGGGGGCACACCCACCAGCGGCGGGGCACCCCGACTCCAGCAAGGGCATACCAGCGGGACCGCACACTGGACCTCCTTGAATACCTTGATGTACCAGCTAGACCTTTCTGGCTCTGCACGTGCCAGGAACGGCAAATTTTCTTATTCTTTGAGCGGAGGTTCCTCAAAAGAGCTGCACACAGATCCAAAGAACTTTTGCAGATCACGAGGATGACCTGCAGCACCATCAGGAACATGGTGTTCAAAGGGGACATCGTGGACCATCGGCACCACACACTGCAGGGAAAAACAGATCTCAGAATCCTGCTGAGAGTTCTGCATTAAAGCCCCACTCCTCTTGTTCAATACATTCAAACTTTCTAAGGCAGCAAGCTCACTGTCCAATTGGGCCACACTACGGACACTGCTTTCAGCTTCAGGGGCCAGCTCTTCAAAGTCAGAGTGATTAATAGATATACCCCGTGAAGGGGGGGGGGGTGTTTAAGGCAATGCATCACCACACCAGCTGTGACAACAGCAGCCAAGACCCTGACAATCCAACCTGAAGCTGCTGCATGTAGAAGGGAAAGGCTGGGACAGTAATGCTGGAAGTACCGAGGTACAACAGCTGCACAGAAGCTCTGCAGCAAATGCGCTTCAGCTGAAGCTGCAACAGTAAAGGAAAGAACATAGGCTGGCAATGTCTCAGTCATCTCCCAGCACCTTCTAGTGTACTGCACAAATGCACCCTCTAGTGTCCAGCTTACGGCAACGTCACTGCTTGCCTTCAATTGGTCAAGTGGAACAATATCTTTTATTCATACCCTTCACACTCACTTTGGAAGGCATCAATGAAGTATGTAAAATTGGTTAAAAATGTTCCTCCTAAAATTGTGTTGCTGTATCGGCCGGCAATCAAAGGACTGATTGTTCTGTGGTGTTCCAGACGCTTCACACCCATCCCACATTGTGGGTTAGGTTGAGGCTGAGGCACAGCAGTTTCCCTAAGGCCACTTGGAGAGTTCCCTGCACAGGTAACATTTGAACCAGGGTCTCTGTAGTGCAGTTCAGTCTCTTTAGCCACTATGCCAACAGTGCAATCCCAAACAGTTTAGGACCGTACTGCAATTCTGAGATGCGACTACAAATGCAATATGCCAATGCAGTGAAGGAATCAAAAGGCTGCTCTGGAGATAAATTATTATCTCGCCACTCAATACAAAGCACAAAACAGTTTGCTTGTTGGGTACGGTCCTCCTATCCACTTACAACCTTTAATCAAACAGTTTCACTTTTTTCTTCCTTTCTCCTGCCATTCCTTCATATGTATTTTATAGTAAAGCTGAAGTGTGGGTCAAACTGTTACAGTTCTCAACTGACCAGGATTTTACCCTCTTGGCCAAAAGTAAAATGTGAAGAATATAAAATCAAGGCCTCTTGGGAGGATGGGTGATGTGCCAGATGACTGGAGAAGGGTGAATATTGTCCCAATTTTTGAAAAGGGGAGGAAGGATAACCTGGGGAACTACAGGCTGTCCAGCTTAACCTCTGTCCCAGTGAAAATCTTGGAGATTTTAAAAGGGCTGATTTGTAAACATCTAGAGGATAACTTGGTGAGAAGTAGTCAGGATGGATTTGTCCCTAATAGGTGTTGTCAGACTAATCTCATTTCTTTTTTTGATCAGGTGATAGGTCTGGTAGATCAGCGGTATGCCAAGGAGATTGTATATTTGGATTTCAGTCTGGCATTTGCTAAGGTTCCCCATGATGTTTTGATCTGCAAGTTGGAAGACTATGGATTAGATTTTATGATGGTTAAGCGAATAACGAATTGGTTGGCTAACTGCACCCAAAGAGTGGTAGTTAACTGCTCCTTGTCCAATTGGAAGGTAGTATCTAGTGGTATGCCACAGGCTCAGTTTTAGGCCCAGTGCTTTTAAATATTTTTATCAACAATCTAAATAATGGTGTGAAGGGACTGCTCATTAAATTTGCACACAACATCAAATTAGGTGGGATAGCAAACACTGGAAGATAGACATGAGATAAAATCAGACTTGGATACATTGGAAAGATTGGCAGAAGTGAACAAGATGTGATTTAATAGAGATAAATGTAAGTTTTTGTGACTGGTAGTAAAATGTTAATGCACACAAACTGGTGGATGGTGGATGCTCTTCTGGGTAACGGTGTGTGTGAATGGGGTCTTGGTGGGCTGCTAATCTGAGTACGAGTAGCCTGTGTGATGCAGCAGCAAGGAAGGCAAATTTGATCTTAGGGTGTATCAACAGATACAGAGCATCTAGGACATGAGATGAATCAGTAACAGTGTATATGAAAGACACAGAAACTTTAGAGTGGGTGTAGAGAAGAGCAATGAAGATGATTTGGAGATGAAGCCTTATGAAGAAAGGGTGTGAGAACTGAGAACGTTCAGCCTGGAGAAGAGGTTGAGGGAGAATATGATTACACTTTTAAAATACCTGAAGGGCTGTAATGCTCCCTCTAAGCTGTTGAGTCTTGCGAGCAAAAATTCTACTTCGTGAGCTACTGACATTAAAGTTGTGAGTGAGCGATTTGGCAAATGCATAAATTAGTTTGCTCTGGTATTCATGAGAAAAGTCCTAAGCAGGTTTATTCAGAATCTTATTCAGGCCTATGCAATGGGGCAAATGTTCTTAGGATTACACTGCAAGAGTTCTAAGTACCAGGGTTTTTTTGGTGCTGTTTTTAAAGCAAGCATCAGTCTATTCATTCAAACATGTATGCCACTGTAACTCCTGCCCCTGATTGTGGCTGTTTTGGATGCTGGAGGGAAAGTAGGAGAGGCGAAGAAAGAGGTTAAAAAACTGATAATGAATATCAATTTGAATTTAGCACCTGAAATCTTCTTGTTAAATATTATGCCTAATGGTATTGAAAAAAATGATGTACTTATGCTATGCGTAACCCTGTGGATGACTTGCAGTGCCTTTAACCTGTGAACCACAAACAGAACATCCCCATCTACACCCTCTCTGGGCAGGGGCTGCTTAATATCTGGGGCTGCTGCTCAGCTGCTGCCCTGAAGCCACTGCTGTGACTCCAAAGGAACTAGAGTACCCCAGCTCTGGTGGTGGGGGTTAGCACTGCTCTACTGCTGATTGCTCTCTGCCTGAGCGCCTCCTTCCCTCCTCTCTCAGTGGGTCCTCTCTAAAGACAGCCTGTCCAAGCCACCTTGGCTTGCTCCAGACCTTGCTCTCTTGCCTAAAGAGAAGAGGCATTTTAAAGGCGAGGGCTGGCCAGCAGTCACCTTTAAAATGTCTCCTGAGGCAGGCACCGGTTCCTCCCTCTTCTCTGTATGGGGGTGTAGACACGCTTGCGAAAGCCAGTTTGGTCAAGAGTGGGAGACTCTAATCTGGAGAACCAGCTGGATTCCCCAATCCTCTACATGAAGCCAGCTGGGTGACCTTGGGCCAGTCACAGTTCTCTCTCAGCCTCACCTATCTCATGGGGTGTCTGTTCTGGGGAGAGGAAGAGGAGACTGTAAGCCACTCAGAGACTGAGTGAAGGGCAGGGTATAAATCCAACTCTTCTTCCTTTTGTCTCTTTCCTATGCAAAAAGCTGCTGAGGAGCATTTGCCAGCCTGCTGCTACTACACTGAGGACAAGAAGAGGCTGCTCCATTTGGCTTTGGTCAGCCCAGCCAGCTGCCTGTCCTTCCTCCTTCTACCTGCAAACCACATTGTGGGCTTGCCCATGCAGCCTCCAGCCTTTCCAGCAGTGGCTGCATTTTTGGTTGCCTTGTCTGGGTCTCCTTATATTTTGCCTCCTCAAAGTCTATAGTGCATAGATAGGTGGGACAGCAGGAGCCTAGAGCCTGTGTCTGCCTACCCAGGTGACGGACCAACATGATTCCCACCACCACCCCATGTGCATGCATGCATTATTTGCCTAGTGCCGGTGCATCCTCAGAAAACAACTCTGCACAGGTTGGCTTCTGAACTCTTTAGGAAAACAGCGTTGTTTTGCAGAGCCGAGTGTTCCACCGTTCCTCATTTCTCTCTTTTCCCCCTCCTTTATTATGCCTCTTTTCCATAACAGTCAGGTTCTCTCTTTCTTCCCCTTATGCTGGTATTGTTTTGCAGCCTGTGCACCATTTCCTGTAATGGCAGAACAGTTTTATTGTGTGTTGTTCTTGTTCAGTCGAGTCCGACTCTTCGTGACCCCATGGACCAGATCACGCCAGGCCTTCCTGTCTTCCGCCGTCCTCTGAAGTGGGCTCAACTTCACGTTTGTTACATCTATGGCACTGTCTAACCATCTCATCCTTTGCCGTCCCCTTCTTCTTCGACCTTTAGTCTTTCCCAGCATCAGAGTCTTCTCCAGTGAGTGCTCCCTTCTCATTTGGTGGCCAAAGTATTTGAGCTTCAGTTTCATTATCTGGCCTTCTAACAGTCAGGGTTCATGTTGGGCTGAAAAACGGAATGACCCAAGGGCCACTGTAATCAATTTTTCAGGGGCCATTTTTAGCGTCCCGGTGCACCACTAAACTGGGAGGGTCATGTCACCCCACCCACTGCATCCAGTTATATTGGGGCCCGTCCCTGACTTTTTCCCAGGGCCCCAAAATCACTAACAGCGCCCCTGTGTCTGAAAGAAATGGGAGTTATTACAGGCACGATTGAATCAGAAGCTTTTCCGGGCTCTTCAACTCACCTGCTGTATCACTTTACCTCTTTGTTCTGAACTCCACCAACAAATTTCCTTCGGAAAAACCTCCAGTCTCACCCCATACATTAGCAGATACACACAACACACGCTTTTTCAAAGTGCTTACACTTGCAGACTGAATCAGCAGAGTACCGCACTGAATCTAGCCAGACTAATCAAGCACAGAGCAAACCGTTCGCTTCCTCGGTGGCCGACTCCCCCTCCTGGCCCATGCGCACTTTAACGTTACCGAGTTCATTGAAAGATGGGGACTGCTGCTAAGATGATGCTGTTGTAGAGGGAAGGGAGGGGAAATGCCCATTTTGCTTTCCAAAACTCCGATAGCCTGAGAGATTCTGAACATGTGCAGGTTCTGCAGTAAAATTTGTGGCACACAATTAATTGTTTTATAAGACCCATGTTGAAAGTCCTTCTGAGCGTATGGTAAGTGTTTTTCCGTGAAATAATACAAATTCTGAATGCAGTTCTGAAAGAATGCAAAAAAATCATACCATCCCTGTGGAGATGCAGAGTGCCGATTGCGAGGTTCACAATTTCTTTTTTTAATGTATAGAATAGAAAG